CATCTGCCATGAAATCTTACATGTGTTAAGCAGACTCCTTCTACTACATGACATTCCTTGAGTGTTTTCTTCTAGTCGAAGTAGCCTTTAGCAATAGCGTTGCTTTGCGATACGACACGTTCTTGTCACGTAGATGGTCTAGCTTCAATTCTCAATTGAACTTGAGGTTTTTTCAACTTTCATTATTTGTTCTACAACATATGAAAATAAATACAGTATTTTTTTCCCGAAACAGCCTTAAGCTGTTGCGTTGATCTGTGGTAGAACACATGATTGGTACACATCCGGCTTATAAGATTGAATAGCGCTTAAAAAGATTTTCTATTGCCGTAGCAATTACATGGACACTCACGGCTGGATTTTTCCGCCAGCTGCGGCACCATCGCCATTCACGGTATATCTATCTATATTTATTTGAAAACGTAAGAAAAAGAATAAACCAGAAAAAGACTCTGGTGCACGGAATCAAATGCCGGCTTCTGAATTGTGAGTGCGAGGCGTTAGCAACTGAGCCACGAAGGAGCACCTCTTTCAACGTTCAAACGGCAAGCTATTTATACTACCACTTACCGCTGCCAAATGGCCATCTCTGGGGAACTGTAGTGTTTTCAGCATTACCAGCAAGATGGTGCAATAAGCGCCTTCGCATAGTAGGGCTTTAGCGTCGCCAGATTGTCGTGACGCGACGGCGCACTGTCATGTCTCACACGTACGTTACCCCGCGGAAAGGTGGAAGGATCACATTCATGCGCGTGCCCTTATCTCGTGGTGTAGAGAGTCATGCACCTTGGGCTTTCAACGGAACAATTCTGTTGTAGTTAGCGGGCGCACAAAGGTCACCTCACTCTTTGCACAGTCTCCGTTTGCGAAAAAGACGGCTTTTCAGACAGCCAAGTAATATCTGTGACGCTTATTCGCGCTCGTTTGTATATATATGCGCGTACGTTGTGTGGGCAATTTGTGAGTGATAAACGCGAACACTTTTGGTCTGTTTGCCATTTTTCGCGGGACCTTCCGGTTTGTGACTATCACGTTCATAGCTTCGCCTTTGCGGCAAAGCTGTGACATTTTGTGAGTTACTCTTTGCCTCTTTTTCGACTTTTGTCTGTCGCGATCAGGATGATATTTAGCTCCCAATGAAAGAAGTCGATGACATGGACACCTCAAGCTCTGATAAACTCTCTCTTTAATGCTATCGCGTTGAAGAGTACTTCAGTTCATATCACTTGCGGATTTCACACGCTAAGCAATCCTTCCTATGGTAAACTGTGTGGTTAAAATTGAGCCAGCGCTATGATCTCTTTTTCGCATGCCATCAAAGGGACGAGAATGCTAGTTAAAACATGGCTACATTTCAAATAAATGGAATTCAGGGCACATGCAAGTTATGATTTTCTGCCGCACCGTATAGTGGTGAACTCCGGAATATTTATGAGCAATTGCTTTCCCGCAACCTGCGCTGAATGAAAGGGCTCCGAAGTTCTTTCATTTCACTGGCATAAAAATGCAGCCGCCGTGGTCAGGAAGTTAATTCGCGTCCTACGCATTTGCAGCACAACATCACATATCATGTAATACAGAGCGGTGGATATGAGATAAGCCGAATGTTACGTATAAAACGTGACCAGCATATTCAGGTATTAAATTCTACAATTTCCATAACACCACAAGAAGCGCTGTGTATGTGCATAGATGCCGTTCAAAAATAAAGTACATCGAAATTTACCGGCAACCTTGAATGCCTTTCAAGCACAATCGATCCCGGCCTGTTGGTGAAATGAAGAACGTAGCGTTGGGCAAAATGGTATTGCATTGTGGGTGAGAATGAGCCCAAAAAAGCACAAGCAAGAAGTTGTTGCAGCTTACAGATAGGACCGTGAAAGAGATTGTTTGAGGCCTTTTTCACATCAGGTCGGTTGAAATACGTGTTGCGAGGCCATCGGTCAACCTGCGTAAACTCGAGATATGGTATCTAACCGCTACCCTGTTATCGTAACCAGGTGTCCGTGCTTTTTTTTTTCACGAGTGTGTTTTTCTGAAAATAAACTTCATCTGTTAGTCTGCGCCTGTCAGTGCTCTCTTTCTTGTTGTTCATGTTTTTTGCGAAACTTCTCTCTCGTCCACGATTACGAAATGATAAGACCGTTACATTGCAGTTATCGAATACACCAATGTCGGGAGGGGGGGGGGGGTTGAGGTAGAGTTGGTGCTAAACAGTTCATATACAGAGTTACATATAGTGAAATTCTTTGTATTAGTTCACGTGTAGGCTTATAAATATAGACAATTTCAAAAGTGCAAGCGTTGTGGCCCAACAAAATTTCCGGTGACCTCATTTTTTAGCTTCCGAAGACGAAACTGAAAAAACGTCTTCACGTTTTTTTTTTTTTCAAGAGTAAGGAGAGTCTCCTCTTAGTGCTTTGGATTAAAAGAACATGCATAATGTTCAAGGCAGCTTTTATTAGCTCAAAAGAACGGCTATTTGAATATATTTTGCGAAATAAAGAGAAGAAAAGTGAAAAAAATCAGCGGGTTATCTACTAACGCGTTTCTTACCCACCCATGCTAATAAGGCAGAGCGCTGTAAAAAACCAGATGTCTACTGTTGCGTGTGTTTGGAAACAGTGAATGGGTCTATAGTCTATTCGGCTGTTTGACACTGCATAAGGCTTGCTGTGAGCAATCATTGTTACATTACTACAAAAGTTTCTTCTGGCCTTGGTAGGTTACAATTCTTTTTAATTTTCTCTTGCATCAAATTCAAACAGCCAATTGCTTCCCCTGCTAAATTATCACCGTTTTCAAAACGGAATATTGCGCTTCTGGTCTTAGGTGTCCTAAAACATCATTCTGTAAAGTTGTTGTCGAACTTTGAAACCATAAAACACTGCAATGGTAAACTTTTATTCTAATTATGAAGCCTGGTGCATACAATGCTGAGATGCGTTGAAATTTTCAAAAACTTTGTGTGCGCGTGATGCTTAGACTGCTAGATTAAAAGGAAATACTAGAGAACCTTACGTCATTCTTGTAGGTGAACCAAAAAACCTTTGCCCAGTAATGCTCGTAGTAGTGGCTCCTATTGCGATAGCACAGAAACAGCGTGTTTTGCCATATGACAGTCTGGGCTGGCAAAAGCACTCTATCGCCAGCTGCTAAATGCTATTAATGTACACGTTAAGAGCAGCTAAAAAAAGTCAGGCTTTTTCGGGCTCTTATTAACGCCACAAAATAAGAAGCAGAACAATTTGCAATGATCTGGTATTATTTTTTTTCAGGGCTAATAATTAGAATATTTTAATGGCATATAAAGCAATCAAAACAAGAAAGCAATGTGGCACTAAACCTGTGCGCTTGTACGCCTCTTCACTCACCAAGGCAATGACGAGCCCGGAACGATTCCCGTTCAGCTTTTTATCAGCACTCTCGGCTTTGCAATGCAATCGTTCCTTCTTAATACTTTTCCGTAGCAATTTTCTTTATTACATGAACAAAAAGTTATCAAGTAACATCCTGTGAAGATAATTACGAACATAATAAGTTACTTAGTACATGAAGTAGCGAAGGATTGTCCACACAGCATACGAATTACCAGCACAAGGCAGAAATGTTGGTTGAAAAGTACGTATGATTCAAGTACTTGCAGCGCCTTTGTGAAAGCCACGAACCTGCTGAATGGCGCATTATGCGAACAACCAATTATGCGTAAGATTCCCGCTTTGTACTCGCCTCGAGGAGTGCGGCCTGCGAAAAAGAAATGAACTATTTTCGGGCACTCAGATTCTCAAAGCCTTCTTCTCATTGCGAACGCCTAGCACCAATGCATATCCTAGTTCTTCATAGCGGTAAAAGTGAAGGCGGAATACTCATATTGCTGAAACTTGCATTCATTTCAGCATCGCAATGAGCAAAACACACACATACACAAATGAAAACACACGCAGGCTGCGTCTCTTAAATTTTTTGTGTTTCTTAATGAATGCGTTTTGATGTTTTCCAAATTTAGTCTTCACCCACTTTTTCTTCTGCTCAGATCTTTTAGTACATAGCTGTTTTTATTATAATCCTGTACCAATCTTTGGCTGGCACTTTCGTAATTATTCAGGGTAATATATAATGAACATCAAATATGAGCTGGAAATGCACTAGAGTATAACAACGGTTATCAACTACCCCGCAGTCATCGCTTAACGATAATGCAGGCAAAACGTTGTCATACACACGACTTCAAACTAGCCAGAACGCTTATGTATCCAGTTTCAGAATCTCCGCCCTTCGCATTTACAAAGTTGTCTCTGTGTGTACAATTGCCACATATGCGTCTTTTGCCGTCACTGCATCAATCGAAATAAAAGCCCAACAAGGTATGACAACATACCACGCTCATAGCGTGCTCGTGACCGTTTTGCTAGCTCCACATATACTAAATTTGGTGTGACATGACGTGAATCGATGACAAAGGTAAACGACACATCTAAACATGATAATCATGACGCGGAATTTATGTATGGCGTCATTTACCTTCACCTAGTAACGTTTTGCTGATTTTAAAGCGACGTATTAACATTTTTCATTCGTGCTTCGCATATCATGGATTCCCGCTGTACGTGGGATCTGCCAATTTTTTTCTTTTTCTCTTTTTGTATTTTTGGTTATGTTGATGCAAACTATGAACTAATGGGTTCCCCAGCCCTTATGTAGTGCCCCTACCAAGGACTTCTTAAGGTGAAAACTGATGTTACGTGAAGTAACTGATTATGCGTGTTAAATATACTTACGAGGTTCTACAAAGGTAACTTTATGCTGATGAGTGCAGCAAGCGTGTTTTCAAAGAATGAACATTCAACACACAAAAACGCACCAGCGCATGTGCCTGAGGTTGTTAGGAGGGGGAGGGGAGGGGGTCAGTTTACACTTCTCAAACTATATTTTCGACTATGGGCAATGGAAGAGGCTAAGAAGACTAGCGTTCTTCCAGGCACTTCTGTTGTAGTACTCACCGACGACGTGTAGCCGTACCGTCGAATTTCTACGAGCATCATCCCGGTACACAGCTGTGCACGTGTACAGACCGGCATCCTCGAAGCGCACGCTGTTCACCTTGAGGCTGGCCGGGTGGCCAATGATCGAAAAGTAGGCCCGCCCGATCCAGCCGTGTCCGGCTGAGCGGCTCACCTGCGTGAGCGAACAGCACAGTGTTCATTTGGAATAGGGTTCAAATTGACCTTCTGTGCACTTTATGAAAGTTATTATTGAGATGGCTAAATGATAGGAAAAAGAATCAAACAAGAGAATGGTCTAGTGTTTTCTCTGCTTATATGGTGAATAAGAGCACTTGCTATTATTTTCAACGCTTACAATAAACGTGTTACAGGCTTGTCAAAAAAGGTAATAATAATAATAATAAGAAGAAGAAGAAGAAGAAGAAGAAGAAGAACATCTGCCTTTTACGTTCGAAGATCACGTTATGAATATAAGGAACGCCGTAGCGTAGGGCTCCGGACATTCCGACTAGTGGACGCTAAGCGGGGCTCTACCATTTAGCCCGCGAGACCAGCTGGACAGCAGCCAAGCTCCGTACACTGCTCCACCGACGCTATCAATAAATGTTTCTGCCGTCGACAAGTCACAGGGAAATCCTGAAGGGCAGAGTCAACATTAAAACCGCAGAGGTCTAACAGCTCGTAAGAGCTCATGGCGCGAGGCACTCACTTGTAGCAAGTTGTTCCCTCGTCCTCCTGTAGCTCCATTTCCACCCGTGGCTCCGGCAGTCGTCTCTGCGCTGAGTGTCGGATTAGGTCCGAAGTCCACAGTGTAGATGGGCTCGCGGCTGGCCACGGCTGCACGGAAGCCGTATCCCAGTGGTGATGCCACTCCGGAGGAACCACTGTGAAGATCCCTCTCGGGCGAGTGGTACCAGTGCACGAAGGCCAGCGAGTCGTGGGACAAAGCGTCGCGTAGGTCGCACGGCAGCTCCGTTTGGTGACCTTCGCGCACTATCAGGCACTTTGAAGTGCCTGCACATTGTGAGAAAAGTAAAAAAAAAAACCTCTTTGAAATGGTCAAGTCACACAAGGGTATTAGTGAATAATCATTAGATTTGATACAGCCCTTGTGCCAGTGCTAAAATGAAAAAAAAAGCTAATAAGAAAGCAGATCCAAAAAGGAGAGTGACTACTCCCTTACCACGGGGAAATATAAATTAAGTGCCTGTGGGGACACTCTCGCCCTTCACTTGTGGTAATTTTTTTAATTAGTAATCAGTTATCGACATCATATGTGGATGGCTGGTGCTCACTATGTATTGCATTCATTGTATCAGAAGAGGTACAAACAAGATGCCCACAAATTTCATTACCATGCTCCCGGGACTCCAGTACCCATCGCTTTTAAATGCGAAGTATTTCTTAGCGAACTTCGGCGACTTTGAGCGTATCTATCTATCTATCTATCTATCTATCTATCTATCTATCTATCTATCTATCTATCTATCTATCTATCTATCTATCTATCTATCTATCTATCTATCTATCTATCTATCTATCTATCTATCTATCTACCTAGCCACCTACGACGTTTAGCTCTCCTGGCCACTTCGATGATGGTATCAATACCAAACTTGGTATGGTATAACATGACTGTATGGAGAACATATTTGTCTAGTCATCACAAGAAAATCTGGCAGTGTATGTCAAGAATGTCATAGTTTACACTTTATGGTCCTGCAGCTTTTGTGGTGGTTTAGTTCACATGGCATGTGGCAAAACTGGTAAGGTATGGAATGATTGCATGGCGAACACAAGTGACAGATTCTAACACGGAAATTATGACATGCGTGTTATGTAACAACATGATGCTCATGATGCGCTCGCGGCCGTTTCACTGGCTCACATATGCCAAATTTTGTATTACAGTACGTGAAAGGATGACGATGGTATGTAACTGGTGCAAACATGATAATCATGAAATGCGGGTCATGTATTAACATGACTACATGCCACGCTCATGATGCGCTGGTGGCCGTTTCTCTAACTTCACTTATACCAAGTTTGGTATTGGGACGTGAATGAATGACGAAGGTATGATACTGGTGTGAACATGATAAACATGAGATGCATGTCATGTAACGACATGACTACATGCTACGCTCATGATGCGCTCGCTGCCTTTTAGTTAGTTTCACATGTAGCAAACACGGTATTGCGTGGCGCGAACGGACGACATAGGTAAATGACACATCCAAACATAATAATCACATGTGTGTCATATAACATGAATACATGCCACACTGATGATGCGCTCGTGGCCATTTCACTAACTTTACATATGCCAAGTTTGCTATTATGTGACGTCAATGAATGACGAAGCAATGTGACTGGTGCAAACATAATAATAATGAGAGGCGTGCCCCATGAGAACATGACTACATGCCACAGTCAAGGCGCCACTACATTTTGACGGTATGCGGTGCGCGTGCTCGCCGGCGTTCATTTCCTCGCGTCACGCCGGCGCTGCCACGCCGGGCGCCGGTCCTGCCATATACTCGCAGACGCGCGCCGCGCTGCGTTGCTTTGACGCATGCGTGTTTCAGTGCGTCTGGCATCCCTCCGTCACGATAAGAGGGGGACGCAGTGTTGTCTGGGTAACGCATCGGCGCGAAATGCAGCATGTTGCATTTCGCGCCGGTTGCCGCCGGGCCGCGCTGACGGACGCTGGCTGCGCCTGCCGTCAGACTGGCGTCAAAGCTATGCAAAGAAAATTTCAAGCAATTTTGGTTAAAAATGTTGGTGGCTTACGTCCCCCCGAATTTGATGTGTGCAATTGTACACATTACCACCAAAGAGGCTAGGCATTGCCGTCGTTGTGCGTGGTAAGTATGTATTCGCCGCTCATTTCAGGAACTCACAAGGATCAGCGCTTTTGAACAACGCTCAAAATAGTGGATGCAAGAGTGCACCTATAGTACGCGTTGGTGATCCACTTTCACCGAATGGCGTGAGTTGAGCGTCTTCGGCTGTTTAATTAGTTATGCGTAAGTTAGCAAGCGAACAGCTAATAATGTAAAGCCAAGGATTGTAACCAGTTCTGTATAGCCGCCATCACGCCCTGCAGTGTGTAAAATGATGAATAGAGTTAACTTTAAGGTGTACCATGAAGGGTGCAGTAGCTAAAGAGTAACGTCAGAGTTGGTTAGTATTTTGCAGTACTTATTATCACTAATAGTAAACAGCCACTTGCGCAATGCAGTTATTTAAATGTTGGAAGAACGTCATCGTCACCCTCAGGCACGGAATAACTTCTCAGGACGGCATTCCATATTATCGTCTAGTCTCAAGGGCTCCTGGTGAAAGCAAGCTTCACGAAAGTCAGTCGTGCTGAAAGGGAGTACGAGGAGTCCCAGCAGAAACGCTTCAACCACTGCTGGGTTCGTTATGTCTGGCCGTAACTTTGGCTCCTCGACATCGATCGCCCCATGGGAAAAGCGACACGTTCGCTTCATTTCGGAACCCAAAAAAAAGTGGAGTGTTTGATCTGCGCTTGAGAAACAATGTCGTCGTACTATCAGACCCCTTCCCGATTGAACAGAAACTGAAACTGTAGGGATGAACACCAGGAAAGAACACAAACGTTTTTCAGAATCACTTCAGAGGGAAAAATGCGGCTGTTGTGTAACGGCATGTTCCAAAGGAAATTCTGGTTGTGGTATAGCTATATATAAGAATTTTCCCTCGAGATCAATTCTGCTGACAAAATATGGGTATATAGCACATTTTTTAACTAACACCCTTCCACTACCATGTAAAAGAAGAAAATTATGCCATATTTAGAGAAATTCGCTTCTTCCCTGAACTTGTGTTTTTGTGTTTTTTGTGAGAAAACGCTACTTTTGTTTCAATTCAATGGAGTTCCTGTATTTAAATATTGCGTAAAATAAAGCGAAACTTGGCTTTACTTTAATTTAGTACAATCACAGATAGCTACAAAATCGAAGCCGAAACACAAATGGCACAACATGGACAAGTGTCACTATCTAGTGTCAATAAGCACGACTATTAGGAGTTTAGCAGCGATTAGCTCATTGTGGAACCAAGTATTTTTAATTACCAGTATAAACGTGACTGGTCCTTTTGGTACAAAAACCCAAAATGATTACACTTCTCTACCAAAAGCGCAAGGGTTAATCTTACGATGGTAATACTTCATTAACAACGACAACCCCGTGTAATTGCAGATTTGATTGTTTATTATTGCAAGGTTTTTGTGGCGCTGCACGACTATTAACTTGCAGTATTGCGGAATTTCCTAAAACTACTACGCATAACGTTTCGCTGCAGGCTGAAAGAAAAGCTTAAAGACGTGTTCATTCTGCGTCGGTAATAAGTTTGATTTGGCACTTTTTATTGCGATAGCAAATATATGGGCACACTCAGTTGAATTTAAGCCACCAGCGTCGATGTCAGTGTCGGCGTCACGCACCATATATATATATATATATATATATATATATATATAGATATACGCAAGAAAGAAAAAGTTCTGAAAACATGGAACCTCTGCGTCGTTAATGCGAGACGTTAACCACTGAGCCACCGAAGAGCACGTCCTACAACGGTGAAATGGCAACATATTTATATCTACTACAACTTATGCTGACGGGAGTCAGGGGGAATTCATTTTTTATATATGCGTGTGTGTGTGCCCGCACGTTCAAATTGCATTTGTTTCACATGTTTTGTTTCGATCTCTGATATGTGTAATGATAAAGAAGCTTTGCTGTCGCAGATTCTGAAGCCTCGTAACATGAGAGAGCTGTCTCTTGTTTGTTTTTACTTTCTACTAGCCTGCGCCTCGATTATTGCAAAGTTACAGCATGAGCTTGCGATTTAGTTACAAAAAATTGCGCATGCAAAACTGTATCACGTTAAATTCTGTCAGTGGAAGTAGAATGCAAGGCAATAATATGATATGCGTTCATGAGCTCAGCATCCCCAATACTACCTCGTCGCAACATTTTGTGCGTCATGCAGTCTGTTGTAGGGACAGAAATTATGCACACAACATGTACCCTACGACATGCACTGCAGGGGCCAGAGAATGTCACATCTGGCTTTGCCAAATCACTTGTTAGACGAAAGACGGAATTCGTTCCTGAAGCAAGTTTTTTCTTCAATTTGTTCACTCAGTGACCTCAGTGCAACATATATGTGGTGAGAAGAGCACGATTTCTTTAGTAGCCTTTCCTGCGCTTGTAGTTCGGAGGACCTGAATGGTTGGCCTCTCTCCATTGAAGCGCCGTTTAAACACTGCACTACAGAAGGTGATGTATTGAACCACGAAACACCAGAAAATGAACCCGAAATAGCAGAAGCGATCACGTTCTTGCTTTTATGCGCATCTAAGGAGTTCACGCCTTGAATAGTCTTCCCCATTTCCGATTTACGGTGTGCCTCACATATAACATATATGTTTTCGAGTGTTGAACCGAATTATTAGCAAGAAATCAATGACATATACTTTTATATCCTGGATCGAGCGACTTTTGTGGCCACCAGAAATCCCTCTTCTATGAAAAAAGGCTGGTCCGTATATGCCATCAGACGCGCCTTGGTGGTAAGAAGCTGTTGCCCAAGGTTACTATGTGGCTGCTGAATTACGTCCTGGTCGATGAACCAGTCCAACCAGCAAGACACGCTCCGATGCTTGTTTCCGGTAGCGGTTCGGATTACAATTACTCCCGCCAACTCTGGGCACATTGATTTATTTGGAGCTGTCATCGTGTTTGGGTGCCTATGCGTCAACGCTTCTACTGCAACAAAAAGTTGATATCGTTTCATTTTGCAAGTCGAATGACCAAACACTGGCTTCGTTGTATCGACTTGTGGTTCTTATGTGCCAGGTCTTGGCTGCCGTTGTTATCACGCTTGCAGTTGATATGGTGTTCCCTACGCACGTTTGTGTATGGTTTTGCTTCCATGTAGTACGTATATGTTATCGCGCCACAGGAATATGGAAACACGAGTAAGCAACAAAAGAGAAGACGCATTGCTTTATTTTACATTCGTTGGTGTTCAATAATGGTCACATGGTCTGCAAGGCCGGGTATTGATTCGTGCAGCAGATATTAGAACCGTAGACAGAATGAGAATACGGAACGCACTATGGTCCAGTTTATTTAGCATTGAGTAATACCGCCGCTAGCTTTCACATCTATGGCACCCCCCACACTTTCGTTCATACCTTCGAGGTCTGAAACCGCTTGTAATCGATTAATCAATGTAACCGACGGAATATCAGATAGCGCTTAAGGTTTGCTCAGTGCAAGGCGGGATTATTTTTGTCCCCGTGAATTCATCAGGGTCCATCAAGGCGGCTATCAGGGCAAGCACGCGCAAAATTTTTGTTAAGCACAGGCTACGAGCGTGATCTGGTGATAAGTTTAGATGACTCTGCTGGCTCTATATCACCTCGCCACTACTTTATTGATAAACAAAGGGTGCAGTATCAGTGCATCGCTCGGAAATAAATGTCATAAATTTCCCCATTCATTTCAATATTATTTTTGAAATGACAGTTTAATATACCATCTATTCTTGCATCAAGTCAACAAGGTTATGCTAGTGCATGATAAACAAAAACGCGCACGCCCGTATCAACACTAACCACTAGCCAGCAAGATTGGGATAAACAGTAAAATTTAGGGCCACTCGTTGGGAAGCCGCACGGCAATATATTGCTTACTTGTACATGAAAGGGCACTGCTGTTGCAGATTAACGTTAGAAATCATTCGCTAATTTCGTCTTTTAATTGAGTAGCGTGCACTAAGTATTGATATATATATGCACCTCAACTACGACAACAGGACAATTACACGTAACTGTTTCAGGCACTACGAAACAAAATTGGTTCAGGTATCTTATTATTATGCCTAATAGAACGCATAACTGAATAATCCACAGCAAAAAAGTATCGCTTCTACAGTTGCCCACATATCTTGTTGAATATAGCTATAACTAGCCAGCCTGCTGCACAGATTTCGATAATAATACTCAAGTACATACGACATCCGTTTCCCCTCCGTACAAGCCAGATGAATACGCACCACATGCAATTTCAATCTCGGCTTGTTTGAAGCGATTTGCGGAATGCAAATCCCCGTTAACGCGCGCACTCAGCTTCCGTCCGACATTGTTATATGCGTTATTAGCACCGGTTCACAACATATACAAGGAGAATTTCATGAATGTTGTATTCATTTAACCTCGTTTCTACGGCTCAGAGTAATCGAGTCACACTGGCGATAGCACTCACCTCCTGCGGTCGACGCAGGAAGAGTACCTTTCTGCGGTGAGCTCGGGGCCAAGCCCAAGGTTGCAAGCATGTTTGTATTTTGTATTGGAAATATCAAAGATTTGTGTTTGATAGTAGTACAACGACTTAATCGATTCTTCATTACACTGGGCTACCACTCAATCATTCAGTACTCCAAACGCTTCATCGCCTTAACACACGTTTATTTCGTGTTCAGCAAACACTCGTATGCTATTTCTTTATCCGGGCACATATCCCCGTACACAGGGCTCAGTTTGGAGAACTGACTGCAAAAAAGTAAGCGAGTACTTTGGAAGGCAATAAAGTGAAAAGTTTCATGCACCGAATTCCGCAATTATTTCATTTTAAATACACCATGATGAGTTGACTGATGACAGCAAGAGTAGGCTCCAGAAAAAAGAAACCTTGTACCGATAAAAGACACGTTGCCATGATGCCCGAATTTCTCGCACCTGCTTACATGTTGTCCTCATGCATTTGAAAGCCACTTGTCCACCCGGCTCTTTAACTATTCTTGGCAATGATTGATTACTTCGGTGACGTAAGCAGTCACACTTGCAAGAGTCAGGAAATCCTGCCAAGCTTACGACAGACCAGAAGACCACAAAAGGAGTAGTAAGTTAAAGTTGCCCCTCAAATGTGGGTGCTCTTTGTTTGCCCGCGAGTGGAAACATAGATATGCAGCATGTATTTGTATTTGACTGTACTATCGCCTGAAAATTACGACGTATTAATAAGTGAACTTTATACTAGTTGCCGCAAGGTGGCCTTTTCTGTTTTTTGAACAGATGTTCCAGCCACCCGGTGATAACTGTCATCATCATAAATGGGTGTGCGTCACAGAAACTCGCCTCATCCCATTACTCAACACTGGTTCACTAAAAATGAAAAATGGAACAGTCTGCTCAAAGAGTGTATGCGAAAAAACTGCAATTAGCCGAAAACATCGAGGACGTTCAAAAAATTAAAACTAGTAATAGGAATGAGATCAGTGGCTGAAAGGAGACTCTGAAGCGATAGAAAGGCTACATCAAAGAGGAAGGGCCGCAAACCTAGATCGAGAGCAAACGTGCGGTTTCAGTGCAAGATTCTTTCTTTCACATTTGGGCAACCATATTGTGTATGTGACTTAGCTCGAACCTCTCCGCGATGAGTATCAACGTCGCACCAAGTAAGATCACCTTCTTCAATCCTCTCAACGACCAAGACGCATCCTACAAAGAACCAACATCACCTAGATCAAAGACCTAGAAACTACCTCGAATCAATAGGATTAGTCTTCAGAATACTCCAGTTTCACAGGTTTACACCTTCTGTCGCTGCGTGCAAGCTACCCCATTTTCGAAAAGAGGGTGCAATACGAAGTTAGCACAAGTTAAGAGCAGATGTTTATTTTAAACAATTACCAATAAACATCACCAATTCATAACAACTATACGCAGTACGCGTCAGTAGGGTAACGATGAAATATTCTCAACTGGTGTGTCTATTTAAAATATGTCTATTCAATTTCCTAATTGCTTCAATATTACACTCATGCGACCCCGTGATCGCTGTCCCCTCAGCGATGTGAACCACATCTGACAAAGCAAAAACTTTGATTCAGTGTAAAACAATTGAGTCTTTTCAATTCCTGTCATTTTAACGGGTGTGGTGCACCACTGTGTAAGCGCCATATTGATCGCTGATGGGACAGTATTCAGCAAAATGTGAGGGCTATGAGATGACTGCGGGATGACCTCAAATCTTGAAGGTTAATGACTACAGATGAGCAGCAACGTATTCACCAGCGCCTAATGAAGCCTTGCTGGCTTCCCCAACTGCCGGGGACAGCCGCACACCACAGCCTTGGCCACAGTGCCTTGGTTTTTTCTTGCACTTGCTTTCACTTCAGCGACGATTAACTTCTACGCGACACAAGATAATGTGCACAGGAAGTCATTACTCACAGACCGAGCTGTCATAGTTTAGTAAACTGATTCTTGGCTGACATATATCCTTTTCTCCTATTTTGCCATCTACGCTTTTAGCGATTGAGAAAAAAAGGCAAAAGCTTAGTGGTACTCACAATCCTAATTGATTTATGCACAAATTGATGCATATTGATTCGCCACCAGCCGCACATATTTTTCAAACATATTGCATGCATAAGAAAGCGAAATTGTTCCTTAGATATGGAATTAGTATTCTTAGTATGACCTGTACTGGTTGTCTGATGATATTTAAAATGCCTTCATTGTAATTGATTGATATGTGGGGGTTAACGCCCCAAAACGACCATATAATTATGAGAGACGCGTAGTGAAGGGCTCCGTAAATTTCGACCACCTGGGGTTCTCTAACGTGCACCCAAATCTGACCACACGGGCGTACAACATTTCGGACTCCATCGGAAATGCAGCTGCCGCAGCCGGCATTTCATCCCGCGACCTGAGGGTCAGCAGTCGAGTACCTTAGCGACTAGACTGTCTTGATTGTAGTACATGTTCTAATTACTGAATGAAAAACAAGTACATAAAAAGATGACAGCCTATGTCATCGATTGCGCTTTCATTTTTTAAGCCACAATTCATTAGCGCTAAACATGTCTCGTTCGATAGCGCATTAATTCTTGTAGGTCTCTAGCATGCAAATACTTTCACTATATGTGCGACAATTTCTACCCAAACAGAATGTCACAAATGATTGTCAATCGTGGTTTAGTCTTTTTCTACAACACTTCACCAAAACTCTTCATCAACAGCCATGTTGAACTGAAACATGTAGTGATTTGCCTTAATTGTGGAGATTTATTAGGAGATAATAATAATGACACGCTATCCAGAACATGCCCATTGGATCCAGCTAAAGAAAGACTTACCATAGAACCAAAAGACAACTTTTTCTGCTCAAACTGTCTCCATTTTACAAGATACCGTGCGCAGTTCATAAATCGGTGCAATGGCCGTTGAATTAAGGGCACCTAAAAAGTGTGATAAAATGTGAAAAATAGAAATGTTCTCAGATGTGAGATGCTGCCTAAAGCCAGCGTTTAAGCCAAGCATGCCGAACGAGCCATGAGTATACTGGCGCAGGGTAAAACTATCATCACGTAACAAAAGCGTCTGACTGTATCCTGAATAAAAGGCCACCTAAACGTTGCGCTGCGCTCTCAAAAGGACTGATTGTGATGGCGTTAGCGCATTCTCCTAAATTCTCTGACAAGTGCCCAAGCAAATAAAAACTACCAATAATCGTCTTTGTAAGGACCGGCTATAGATAGACAAGAAAACTCAAATTCTCGAATATTCTTTTAATGTTTTCGAAGTCGTGTTAAGCGTGTTTCAAAAGATGTAGACTGTATGTATTGTACTTTGTTGTTTCAATAAACATATTGTCATCAGTATGGCCCGTATTGTCGAAGATGTTCTTATCGGACTACAGCATTGGAAGACATTCTGCAGGATACTATGCAAACAAAGAGAATATGGTGCATCGTACGAAACTCGTAAGCTTGTACTTCAGAAACAAGAAAATTACATTTTTAATTTGCTGCTGTGAGTTGTCCCAAAATAATCGGTAGCGTCACTTATTAGTGATGTGTGTCAAACAAAACCTGCAAAAAAACTGGTCGATTTAACTGCCGTAAACCCAGATACCACGTGGGAGATCTACGTTTGTCCTGGTTTTGAATGAACTCTACATAAATATTGTTTAAATAAAAGGTTTAGCCGCTTGCTTAGATAAACTGCTAGAAATGTGATAGAAATACGATATGCTTCTTCCGGCCTTGTTGCCCCGCCGCGGTGGTCTAGTGGCTAAGGTACTCGGCTGCTGACCCGCAGGTCGCGGGTTCAAATCCCGGCTGTTGCGGCTGCATTTCCGATGGAGGCGGAAATGTTGTAAGCCCGTGTGCTCAGATTTGGGTGCACGTTAAAGAACCCAAGGTGGTCGAAACTTCCGGAGCCCTCCACTACGGCGACTCTCATAATCAAATGGTGGTTTTGGGACGTTAAACCCCACGTATCAATCAATCAATCCGGCCTTGTTTCCTGTATAGCGTTGAAGTTTCAGAGCAGTGTAAGAAACACTAGGTTCTTTAAAATTACGTATCCACTTATCTTCTAATAAAAAAAGACACTGCCTAATTAATTCTGACATATATCAAATGCTTTCCTATTAGACCATCTACGTTTTTAGTGCTGTATTGATTGACTCTGGTAAGCGTAATTTTTACTTTTAGGGGCGAAGCTCCTTATAGCGGCACCCGTTCGTCCCGCGTCCCATCATAGTATGTAAGCAGTCTTACGCTTTGATTTGCAAGGTGGTGCCAAGTATAACATTTTCACCTCCAAGGTGGTGCCGGTGAGAGATTTCTTCTGTGCGTTGTTTAACAATAAAAAATAGTGCTCAATGTACATGCCGATGGCTGCTAATGGGGAATGAGAGACAGGAGCATTCGGCTTTTAGTCAACGCGCACGCTGCGATCCCCATTAGCAGCCATTGGCATGTACATTGAGCACTATCGGACAAGAAAGGGTTGCTACATTACACTCGCTGGGTGTAACCTCCTTAGTTTTAGAAAGGTTTAGCGAGCGTTGAGCCGCAGGGCCATGAATACAATGAACTAGTATATACCATGAATGAATTCGAGGTGGTTAAAGGGGGGAAGCAGATACAAAGCGCAAGCCGTAAGAAATTAAAAGCTAAATCCTCCTGTCTCTTATTTTACAATAGCAGCCACTGGCATGTACATTGAGCATTATCTGAGAGGAAAAGGTTGCTACGTTATACTTGCTGGGCGTAACCTCCTTGGTTTTAGAAAGGTTTAGCGAGCATTGGGCCGCAGTGCCATGAATACAGTGAACTAATATATACCGTGAACTCAAGGTGGTTGAAGGTGGGAAGTAGACCCGAAGCGCAAGCCGTGAGAAAGTGTGCGTGTGCCACCTCTCGTTTAGTCCTTGGAATGTCCATTGAATGGCGGTTCTTCTATATGGGGAATATATGATAAAAGATGCGAGATGGTGGGACTTGGAGTGTTGAATAGATGGACGAACGGACAAACA